CGACCCCCTCGTTCAATCAATGCGAACGCACGGTTAACACTGTACCAAAGAAAAATTTAGTAACCGCGACGGAGATTAAGTATGTGATGTGTTTAGGAGCGTATCCATACTACTTCTACGAAAAACGTGGAGGAGGACGAGCGTTTGTCGGAGGATGGCAGCCATATGAGTACAGTCTTGGAAGCAGGTAAGAGCAGGCCTTCTTTTGAACTCAACCTACTGGATTTGGCATTTCAAGCCTCACATACCTACTTGGGCATTTTGTACGAAACTATCAATGCTACTTAAATATTAAAGCATGCCCCAGGATCGCACTGGTGTGGCTCTTGCACACGAATGCGAATGTATTGGTGCGAAGTGGGCCGGCAGTAAAGAAAAAAGGAAAAGAATCCGTCGAAAACGCTTAGGTTAAGGGCTCACTCACCTTCCTAATCGGCTGTGCTAAGGGAATGAGAGACTAAGCGCGGAGAGGAGAGTATGAGGCGAGAGAGCGCTACAGATGAGAGAGCGCCAGACAACAGCCTGATAAGAGAAAAAATCTGCAGCTTCAGCAGCTTACTTTGCAAGGCCCAAGCGCTCTTTGTCGGTTGGTTTCCGTGCACGGAACGCCACATTTGTGATTGTCCTCTAGGGGTCTACAGACCGAAGGGAAGCGTTCACACGACCTCTGCCTGGGTTGTGCCTTTAAGTGTTAACATTAGTGAGAAACTAAAGCTATACCGAAATAAAGATTCATGGGCGATTTGAGGAATATTACACAAAGGAAGGACATTGTTATTCTGCACGTAAATGAAAAGTGTAGATGCGAAGGTGATTCGGTCTTGAAGAAATGAGAAAAATAAGCCATACGAAACGCTGAAGTCATGGGCCTACTTTTTTGTGTGAGGTGGCGAGAACCAGGTAAAACTGGCTTTGAAAGAGTAGACCAGACGAAGAGAGACAAAGATTGCGATACCAGACTTATGAGCCGCTAGATCGTTGGGCATTGTGAGCACAAGGTGGCAACCAAGTGATGCTAATCCTAGCACGCACTCGCTAACCCGCGAGCATTGCATCTCGTGCTCTGCGGACTGATCTACGTGCTAATCTCACAACAAGGTAATGAGTGCAGCTGGCTTTAATTTATCCGGAATGTGTCTTGAACAGTTTAAAAAATTCCCTGGCACAAAGTGAAATCACACTTCACACATCAATCAAAAATGATACAATCTGTTTTGTTTCAGCAAACAAAGTCACATACGACTACGAATTACACCTATGATTGTCTCAGAAAACCTTGGGTTTGCCTCTTAAAGCCACGAGTCAGGATTAGGCAACCAGCAGAAGTTCTTCCCAGGGTGCGATAGTGGGCTTCCCAAGCACTAAGGGACACGACACTATCGCGACCCAAAAGTGCGCGGCAATGGCGCTAAGGCCTTGCCCGCCGCGCTGCCCGCGCTGCCAGCGTAATCCACCACGGCATACGTGGTCTCTGCGTCCTCTCGCGTATGACGTACTATCTCGCGTTCTCCCTCTCCTCGCAGCGCTGTGTCTCTCCGTCGTACTACGGCCGGCCTCCTAAGGGAAATTTAGTGTTTTCTATGGTGCTTTTTGCTTTTTCTCCTCACTAATGTTCCTCATTGCACCCTTGCCTAATGTTTGAACAAAATAACGCATCAATTCAATCCGACTCGTGCCTTTAAGTGCTAACATTAGTGAAACTAAAGCTATACCGAAAATAGAACATTCATGGGCGATTTGAGGGCATTACACACAGGAAGGATAACGCTTGCGTGCAGGTGAATCGCCAGCGAATCGCCCGATTGGCTGGTGTCGCAATGCGACCGCGGACGCTAGCGATCGCTTGTTTCCAAATGTGACCATCAGCTTAGGGCTTACTTTTACTTCACAAAATCAATGTGAGTGGATTTTTATTCTTTTGCATCTACATCATGTGTTTATTAGAAAACCGTTCTAGGATGGAACGCCGAGGAGGTGGTAGGGCGTTTAATGGGTGGCGGGGACCTAGCGAGTACTACAGCAGGTCAGTACTTAGCATGTACTGTTGTTGATTCTGCATGCGATTGCTTGTTTCATTAGTGATCCTTTCGCTAGCTGAACTTTATGGCAGACTATCGCTTCACCTTTCACAAGTATTTTTTACTGTAGTTTGTAGACTACCATACATTGAACAGAGTTAACTCAGCCTAGTTCACCATTGCCGTTGAATGAATTTTCAAACCTTTGAAAGCTTTGAGTGAGTCTCGCTTGTTGTTAGACATGAATCTTTCATGACAACCGGCGCAGCGGGCAAGTTCGAACGAAAAAAAAAAAAAAATGTACAGAAATACATCTAACTGCCTGTTCCGAAAATTCCATGACCCCAGTGGAGGAGCCACGTCACGAACCTCCTCTCCTCCTCTCCTCTCTCTCGCATCACCACCACCAGCACGGTTGGAGGCTGGTGAAGATGGTGGGAGCTAATATATCTATAACTTGGTAACACACAATTCCTCCATTTCACCGCCCCCCCGGCTTTCAAATTCCAACCAAAACAAAAAAAAACACCAAAAATCCATGAAAAAGCACCTCTCCCCCCATTTCTGCAACACGGCCTCCTCATTCCACCTCCGCGACCCTCTCCGAAAACCCGAATACGGAACCACCCTTGTCACCATCACCACCACACAAAGCCCAAAATACGAGTTCCTCCAAAATTCCCGTACATTGCACTCTCGTCACACCTATTACAACGAACAGATGGTCTTGGTTGTAGGTTGAGTGCAGGACACGATCAATTTTCAAACAATGAGCTCTTAGCGGTTGATCAATTTCACCCAAGGTTCCGATTCACATTCTGAGGCAGTCCAAATTTCCAAGGCCATCGCATTAAGAGAGTCGAGCACATCAAAAATGGGAAGAACAACTCTGAAAACAACCTACTACTAACAACTGGTGACAGATTTAATTCCTCTGGGAGCGATGCAACCCGTCTGCGCAGTGTTGTCTACATGCCCGTTGACGGGGAAACTGACTATGGAGAAGCATGAAACTACTCGTCCAAAAGCAATAGTTGATTTTGATCAAGGAAATGCAATTTGGTTTTCGCTCCCTTTTGGAACCAGGTTCTGCAACGCACAAGGAGCCTTTTCCTTACTTCAGCCTCCTTTTGACAAATGAAAAACTTATTAGAAAAAAAAATTATCAAAAAAATTATTAAAAAATTGAAAAAAATTGTTTAAAGACATGTATACTAGTCAGCTGCTCAGCTAAACATTAAATCCTTACTTATTTATATTCCCTAACAGGATTGCAACCGATTTTTTGGTCCCACCTACAAGGCGAATTCATAGCGATCTCACCACAGGGACCAACCGTAGCGTGTGCTCGTTCTCATGAAGACGACCCACCCCTGCTTATATCCGACTTCTGGTGGATGGTGGCGATAGTATAGTTAGAATTCCAATTCTCAATCAGGCCCGGAAACTCCAAGAAACCTTCTTGGAAAGCAGCGCAGCGAGAAGGCAGAGACGCGAATGGATCAGTAGGCTAGTGACAGCGCGTGCTGTGTGATTTGGGACGTACTAAAATGATAATTCTATACAACTTGACGCGAAACCACTGCAGTGCGCGCTATACTGTCCCGTCTGCGTCTGCATTCTCTCCGCACAACGGGCCTCCTGTCGGTCACCCTTCTCCTACAAGGCTTGTACTAAACAGTAAAATCAAGAAATCGGGTAGCAAGAGAAGCGAATGAAGAATCCTACACGAGGGCGTGTCGTAGAGCTTGAGCGGTAATTACACGTGGCGTGTACGTGGTAGCGTTCGAGCCGTAATTGCACCGGCGTTCCAGTGAAGCGTGAAACTCAGGCGTCCCTCTATATTGGGTTTGTCCGAGAAATGTTGAAGTGAGCCTAACTTGCTTAACCCCTATCAGGGATCTAGTCTTGTAAGGGGCTGTGCTATGCACATTTCTTGCGCCTGCAAAAAATTCCAAGTTTTGCAAGAGGGAGTCGCCGTGTGCGTGAAACCATAATTTCCGTCGAACTTTCTTCACCCAGCCCCAGCCTGACAACCAAGAGCCCTATTGTGCGCAATGGAACTCTAGCAGGCACATGCCCCCTTAGTGAATGAGACCCCTATCATGATTTGGGTGCAAAACAAGTGGGAATGGCACACGTATTTCCTGAACTGCACTCCTCCTGGCTCTTAAACTCCCTCAATTCTCCGGACCATGAAAGCAGGCGCAGCCCCCATACATACATGTCGCGCTACCGTATCGCAAAAAATACGGCGTGCTCACCACAGGCGTTGGCACCAGAGTCAACCCTGCGTTGCGCAGTTCGCAACGGCACGTTGAGAGATCCTCAACGCACGCTGTATGGGCGGAGACGCAGACGGCTCGAGCATGCGAGTGTGAATGTTCGCGCGAGAGAACGTGTCTAATCGGGCGAAACTGCGCAACGTGGCCGTTGAGAACTGCGCAACGCAGGGTTGACTCTGTTACACCAGGATTTGCACCCTTCTTCACAAAGTAGACGACCCTCGCATGCATCAAGTTTCGTAGTGAGAAGCTTTTGTGAATGGCCTTTTTTCAGATTCTACGACAACCCCTACTACAAGAGATCGTCAAGCCTTTGGGAATTCCTCGAAGATCGTAATGCAATCTGATCTCATCGCTTCGTTACTGTATACTCACTCTACCGCATTACATTCCATGGAATTGTAAAATCTAGCCCATCTTTCTTTCTTTAGAGCACTCCCTCTTTTCTTTGAAAGCTTATCCGTGTGCAGATGATTGTATACCCACGTGACGTCATGTGAAAATTGTGTTTTAAATGTATTGAATTCTTCATCCCAAATCTGATTGATGATGTTCGAACACTTGTGTTGGCGCAAACGAATGTTGTATGGGCAGCCATCTCAATGAAAATTTTCAAGTTGTTATTCTTGGTCGTCATTTATAAATGTGCTTGTGTTCATAAAATGGTTCCACGCAAATACATGAACAATACACTCATGTGAGAAATCGAATTCATAAGAACCTGCCCTTCTCAAATCTGTGGAAACATCAATTCTTCAAAAATAATTACTACGTCTGCCTCCTGTCTCATGTACAGCCTTTACTGGATAGGCCAGAAATATTCTGTCTCGAGCGGCGAAATTTCTCAAAAAAAAAAACCGATTAAATAAAGAAAAATAGGTCCAGTGTTTTCTAATGTTCAAGAACGGAGAGAAGAGGTCCCAGAACTCCAAGTGGAAACAAGCCTTCCTAGCGCTGAACTGTTAGAAACGCGGAGCAGAGCACGTTAGACTTCAAAACTCACGACGAATATTCCCATTTTATTAGGTTGTCTCATAAAATATTGTCGCTTTTTCAACCGAAAAATTTTCACTAAATCCCCATGCTTTTACATCGAGTCATATACCATTCGAAAGAGAATTGTCTGCTCTACAAGAGTTGTGTTCTTCTTCCATCTATGTTCCATGGTTTTCAAATTTTAGGCCTGCGAAATGGGAGGTCCAGCCGACAAAAATTGACCAAACCGACAACTATCTCTAACTTTATCTTCCCTTGGGAGAAATCAATCAATACTGTACCCTCTACTTATGCATGACCTCTTCTAAACATTACACTATTAGGTTTCCCAACAAGTCGCGTCATTCCATTTCCAAGACCTGGATTGAAGCGTTGCGAACCGCATTCAAATGCACCTATCGAATACAAAGACGTCACTTACCAGCCCACATCGCTCGTGAATGTCAGAGAAAGGATTTTAAACAATGGGTTACTCAGCACTCCACTCCACAGTGCGCATCATACGTCTGCGCGACAACATACGATAACCTGACCCACACCTTTCCTCCTAGCTATACGAAGGTATTACGAGATTATGTTATCGCAAGGTTGGTTCTGAGAACAGAAAAAAAAACGAGCTTTTGTTTACAAGACAGAGAAGCGATTGTCTCATTGGTTTTCCTAGTTTATGGAGTTGTGTATTGTGAACTTTCATATTCTTTTTTTTTGTTGTCGTTCTGGTTTCTGCTGTGTTGACTAGCCTTCCTCTGCGAGCTGTGCAGCCATGGGAGTTGGGATTCGACAAGGTTGGCGGACCTACTAAGTTGGTATCCGGAGCTCCATCGTGCCTCATGAGCTTGCAGTGTTGGCGGCCCCTGCCCTTCTGCGTCGTTTCCGCTCCCTCTCCACGCAGTTCGGCTTCTTGTTACCTCAGTAGCTTAGAGTCTGTTTGTTTATCGGTGATTTGCTCCTAATATTTACTTTTTCATTGTGTTACTTGTTTCGATTCCGAATAATAAATCATAAATCATAAATCATGTGTACCTTGCGATGCTCTATATTCCCATAGACAGTAATTGCCAGTGTGCTTCTTCTGTCACCCCTGTTAGGTCACAAAGTAATCGCCAGCTCTTTATTTTCAAATCTAACAGCGCTCATGTCTTTGGGGGGGGGGGGACATTTAAAACAGAGCCGATCTAGGCGTCGTATAACTAAGTTACCCGGGGAGGACTAGGAAGCGAATAACACATTTCTCCCCGATCTTTTTGCAGTGGGAGTTATTTTGCTCATTCTTAAGCGTCCCTAGGACTCAGTCGCCAACCACTCAATTGGCTCACCTCCACTGCATGTTCCTCGGCAAGGAAATGAGCGGCGTCTGCACAAGACGTACTTCAGAGGCCTACTCTCTGGCAGGCTCAAGCGAACCGACGAGGAAATTTCGGAAGGAACCCTCCCCACTCCCGAGAGACCGAAGTCCATGAAATGATCCTCTTCGGAAAGTGCGAATATCGGATTTTTTAAGTTCGTGGGTGCATAACCGTGAGAACTAAGAACTGCTAAACGGAACACCTCTAAATCACGAAGACTGTGTGGGCGGAATCAGTTGTCATTGGAAATACTCTGGCCTGGTATCGACTCGATCCTTGATGTTTGTCCTCCGACGATGATCCTACTGTATCAATCGGGCCCCTTCCTCCCCAGCGGGCCAATACGACCCCCCCCCTCTGTGACATGTCGAGGATTCCTCAACGCACGCTTGACCGCTGCTCTCTGCGTGCCAAGATCCTACGCGCGCCCTTACGCGTGCGCTGTAGTACTCCTCCTGTCTCTAGCACACTCAGTGTGAGAATACACGATCATGAACGGAAATCCATGATTGCACCAGCACCAATGGGAGCTAAACAACCGTTCACTAACTAGAAAGCCAACCTGACCAATCCATTAGGTTACTAACGCCCCCACTCAATGCTCAGCACGATGACATTTCCGTTGTAATTTACATTTTGAAATCATTCACTCTCACCAGCTAACAAAACCGTCAATTAACCAACACCCATGGCTAGAAGGCTTGGATTGCGCACCTAATGTCGATGATTTCAATCACAGACCGTCTACTTAAGGCTGGTAGCTTTCCTCAACCTCATGCCATAAAGTTGAGTAAATAAGCAGAAAAATCGATATAATCGCAATTTTCTTTGCGGAAACTGCGATCCAAAACAGGACAAATATGCAAGCAGACATCTGACAATATCGTGCATTATAAGACACACAGGTATCCATTTATATTCAAACCGAATAAATAAATATGGTACACGATGGCAAACAAGTTAGGATACGAGTTTGTATAAAGATCAAGTTAAGTTGTGTGATAAAAATTGGGCAATCATGTAGTGGACTATGTACAATTAGGAGGATCACTAGAACAATGAATAAAATCACAGCTATCGAATTTTTATGATGACAATTTATCGCCGGTCAAGAAGCTATCACAAATCTCATGAGCACACGCTATGATAGAAATTTACTAGTAGAATACAGATTCTTAAACATTATGCAAATCCAGTTACAAGTTACGCCAGTCATACGAAGAGGAATCGATCAAGAAAAATACACTGACCAGCAATCACTGTGAATCAAACTCATTGCTCCTGCTTTTTGGCATAGCCGATCTTAGTCATGCTCATCTGGAAACAATAAAGAATGAAAGATTTTCCCAATAATATCCCTCATCAAGAAGCAAAGATTGCGATGAAAACTGTGCGAATTTATCAAACACTTATCATTAAAACAAAATGAATTTGTTGAACCGTATAATCCAATTGCTAACCTGTTGCGCAAATTCAAGGCTGCGTTTAGTTTCAGGAATTTGGGTCACAGCTGGGTTCAGTGTTACAATGACCATCGTCTTCGAATTGCCAGCTCCGAGGCTGTCGCGTAGAATCATGGTCAATTTCGAGTTACGGTAGGGTATGTGCTGGTTCTGAAACAGTGAAACAGACTTGAGCCTTCCTAAGCGACCTAAAGTTTCATTTTCTAGAACCGGACCTTGAAATCTCAGAGCCTTTGTTCGACATATGAATACGAGCTATCAGCGCTTTGTTCCAATCAAAGTTTTTACACTAGCCTCCAAAAACATTGAATAATTTAATTGCTACCTTATTTAGCTGGCATCGAATGCAGTTCTGGAGATTTGATAAAGCCGAGTTGATGTATGTCATTTCCTTGAAGCGATCACCTTCAGAGCCAGACTCTTTGACTCGTTCAGATCCAGCAAGATCCACCAAGTGTAAGCATGCATGACGAGACGATCCTGACAAGAAAACAATTTGGCTATATCAAACAAACAAAACAAGCAAGCAGCAACAGGTAAACTGGAACACCCAATACCTGAGGTTGTATTATGCCCTTGTATTGCGAGTTCAAATACTGCGTGACTTCTGCTTGACTGCTCATTACATTTCGTCGCCGCAGTTGATCTTGTCAAATCTGTTACCGCAAGAATATTCTCAATCTGGGAAAAATTGGCGTTTTCTCGCAACTACTTAATGCCAAATATACGAAGTAAAACTAATATCTGACATCATCTACAGCGTTAATTTCATTATATTTCATTCCGTTGATGGAGGTGTTGCCTGATCCAATCTTAACATCCAGTTTTTTCCGCTCACCAAGCAAGTCATAAATTTCTTCGTTGTATACTTCAATGAAAGATGCCTTGAACTCAAACTGCAAGTGTAAGTAATGTTCAATTTCAAAAATTCGATGTGTTCTTTCATGAAATTATGAAAGCCTACCTGCCAGTCTAAATCCGCCAGCTTATCTCTTGACTGGAAGAGGAATTTCACAGCACGTGGGATGATGCCTTCGGATTCACCTTCACCTGTAGGGGAATCATAATCATGTACAGTCCATATCCGAGAGTTGAGATCGGCGTTTCACCGGTGACGTGGCTGCTGCCGCACTTGACATAAGTTGGGTGGATAAACTGTTGCCAGCATGCTTTGCCGCGACATCTGTGTACAGCCCACTTCCGAGAGGCTGCGGCCAGTGACACGCTTACCCCAACTCTCGGATATAGACTGCAATAGTTTTGATTGGTTTCGGTCACAAAGTATTGCAAGAGTACAACCAAGCAGGGACCAACCCCGGATTCCTCTCAGAACGCGTTCATCAAAGCCTACGAGCGGTTTGTCTCTAGCATTGCTCTTATCAAAATCGTTGACTCTTCCAGCAAGCTTCCGAATAAGAACGAACTTGTCGCACGGAAGGTGAGCCTCGGGTCAATCATTAATCGACTGCGATCCATCAACAAGATCTTCAGTACCCCAATGTGCCGGTGTTAATAGCAGGTAGACAGGTTACGTAAACGGCGAGTTTTGACTGTAGGTTCTCGTAAAGCGGCAATATTGGAAGCATGACTGCGTTAACCTGTGCATGAAGGTTAGAAGAATGTAATGTTTACATAAAGTCAACCTCCCAACATTACTTCGCTCCAACAAATGCACACATCTTAAGCAAAACACTGTCATGACTCGAAACCTCAGCAAAAACTTGGCCAATAGATGATGTCCACTCCTCATAAACAAGACTGTAGACGTATTCGCCTTCACCTACTTCCCAAATCATTGCATATTAATGAGTCAGATAACCATCATACGCAAAAGACCACTTATGAAGGTACATATATAAAAGGTTGACAAAAAATTAAAATTCACACTGATGGTGAGCTATCAAATTCTCA